CCCTTTTTTCTCCCCGGTCGTTGTTGTCGCGCTGCCGATGACATCAGCGACGCGCTTTAATCGGGCGCGCTTCAGTGGACCGCGGTTTTGTCGTGCCACGGGAAGAACCAACCTAGGAAATTCATGACTATATGGAATGCCTATGTGGAGAAGCAACCCAGTTCTGAATACTAGGAAAAGCAAGTAAAGGAAAAAGCTCCCAGTCTTATTGTGAGCTTCCTGGAAACATATCTGAGTAGGACCTATAGGAAACAAACACAATCAGTTGCGCCTTGGTCCAATCCAGTAGAGTCCCTTTCATGTTTTGTATGTCCAATATTGTCATCCAGCTCAATCCCGAGGAAGCCATTTTTAGGCGGGAAAGCGAAGCATAGAAATGAACAATAAACTATCCAAACACAATTATTTATTTGGATATAAGTTCCTCTCAGAACAGACAATTCACCACTTCATTATATGTACAAGTTATGTCAATATCCTTCAATTATTACTAAATATTTATATATCATTTGGAAGCCCCATGAGCTTCAATCGGTGACTAGCAACTGTACTTAATGACAATGCTTTTATATATGATAAAAGAAGACAGAGAAGGACATCTGCTTTTACAATTAGGAAGTCCATGTTATTTTTCAGGATATATATAAAAATTCCAGCCTTCCCGTCTGACAACTTTGGCAAAAGCTCCCAACATACCGAGGCCAAGGCAAGATGAAGTGCCGATAAGAAAATTCTTTTCTGAAGAGGGAGAAAACAAGCATTAATTAGATCACAGGCTATAGATCAAGTCTTATAATTATTAAGTTCAAAACCCAAAATCTCCATTGAGTACTTAAAAAAAAAAAAAAAACGCATGACCAATACTAACGTCTGGCTCCTATCATTATCCCCGATGCACATCCTCCAATAAAGTAGTTCATTGGGTCTTCTGGGGCACCTCGAAGCTCACCACTGATGCAAGATGTTGCCCCAAAAACTGCCCCTAGGGTGGCTATGGAGGGAAAAAAAGTAGAAGCAGGAAAATGATTTGTCAATTTTTGCAAGTCCAGCAATTTCTTTTGGCTAACAGTCTTCTAACAATCAAAACAGCACCTCTTCTACATGGACATGATTATTTTATCAGTATAAAGGGGTGGAAGAGCTCAATTATAAGAGTAAAATTAGCTCCCCTGTTTCCCTGAAAATAAGACCTTACCAGATAATAAGCCCACTCAGGCTTTTGAGCTCATGGGCTAAAATAAGCCCTCCCCCCTCCAAAATAAGCTCTCCTTGAAAATATTTAAACGCATGCGCACCTGGTGCCCGCCATTTCCTCTGGTTGCTTGCCGTGCAAACAACACGAGGTAAGGAGGCGAGGCCGGAGGGGAGGAAAGGGAAGGGGGAACATGCCCTATGCACCCCACATGCCGCTGCCTAATGGCCGCTCCCACAACCATACCCACCACGCCCCTTCTGTCATGCTAAGGGCTGCCACAAAAAGAGTGGCAGGCCCAGCGATGCGCAACACAGCAGCAGCCATGAGGTGACCACGCTCGCTGCCTCCTACAACCTCAAAAATAATAAGACTTCCCTGAAAATAAGGACAAGTGCTTATTTCGGGGATCAAAAGAAAATAAGAGCCTGTGTTATTTTCAGGGAAACACGGTAGGATGGGAACAAGAGGAACACAGGATACTTCTTGCCCTAAAATAGGCTATTTTATATTAACGGCTTAGCATGAAATCGACTGGGAGAACCCTTTCTAAAGTTTCACCTAATAATGTCAAAAACATTTTATTTAGTTGAAAGAATGTCAGTGAAAATATGTAAAATTATTGCTGAGCATAGAAGAGGCTATCTTGGAGGGGTTTTTAGGTCTTCCAAGATGCTCAAAACAAAACATTCCACAAAATTTGTTTGTGAAACAGTTTGAAATAAAAACGCCACTATTGGAAATCCTGCTGTTTTCAGCTAAGGGCTGTTCTCATCCCAAGTCATTACTGAAAAGGCAGTGCTCCATCTGTGAGCAGCTGTCCCCAATATTTTTGTGCAGGGGCATTGTGGGAAAAGCACACAACTTTCAAAGGGCTCCTTCAGAAGGAGGGATGTACTCCCCTCCTGAATGTTAGCATCTCTTGAACAAAACAAATTAAAATGCATTAATTATTTACTAAAATCTACCCATGAGCTTACAAATCCAATACAAATTAGTACCCGAACAGGGATTTAAGAATTTTTGAACTCCTAGGTTTGATTTTATTATAAGAGCTCTGATTTAATCATAAGATTTTTTTTTAAGAAAAATATGAGTAAATTAAATTTGAAACTTTTAAAAACAGAGACATATGTATAAATCAAACAGGGTCTAAAAAATGAAATACAAATGAAAACGAAACCTTGAATACTTTGCACATTGTTTTAAGCCAGGCTCTGTTCACATAAGAGAATTAGGATCAAACATGATTTACAACCACAGTGCTTTCATTCATATAACATATGCTAAGCCACAACCCAATAAGCTGTACTGATTTGCCTTTGAATGCCACTAACCAAAGAAACAGGCCTTACCCATTGTGACAGTGGATTTGGCCACTCTCATAAGTCCTTCTAGGTATGTGTCTGGCGAGTACAGAATTACATGGTAAGTTGAACCAATGAGGCCTACAGGAAGATGGAAAAAAAGTGGATGACAAAGAAGGTTAATGGTACCAGCAACAACAAAACCTTTTATTATTTTAAAATTAGGAAAGTA